ACTAAAATTGTTCAAACGTCACCCTATAACCATGAAAACATCCTGCTTCCTTAAGTTCTCCAGCAATGAAACTGGCCATCGTTTCAGGATCACTTTAATGACCACAGTAATAAAGTTCCAAATGTCTCAGCCTCCTTCTCAAATAACACTGATTTGAAAACTGTCCATTGCTGACAGATGCTGGCCTTTCGTACGCCACTATTTTGTTTTGAGTCAATCGCTCTTCAAAGTAATATCAAACTGATATTTGATAGGCTGATCCATGCTGCTGATATATGTCCGGCCAAGTCAATGATTTTTATATATCAAAAGAAAGTAGCGAAAAATTACTTTTGGGGGGAAAAAAGGCCTGAAATTGCCCTTTGTTTCACATCAGTATTTTTTTGTGTTATTGTTGGAGCCTCTGAACAGACAGGTATTGTGTGATAGGTGCTTACTGCTTTGTTCTGTGGTTATAATAATAGTATTAAGTAGATGTGCATGCAAAATCCAACCCGATTCCAGTAAACCAGGCCCCCAAGTGTGTGACAGTTCTTAGCTGTGGTCTCGCAGACATTTTCATTGGCTAACATTTGCGAAGTTGACAGCTGTTAGCTACTTTTCTGGGGTTATTTGTCCCTTTTTTAAAAATTTAATTCAGCTTTAATGTCTGTTTTGCAAGTAACATTAGACCTTATAATAACCTTATGATTGACACTTTTATTCATAATATCTTTTTGTTCGCAGTTATTCATGCTAGACAAGTAGCTATGACAGCCCATAATTTCACCCCAACCTCTATGAGGTAATTTGTCCGGTATGTTTGTTCAATATGTGTTTTATGAGCAACAGTAAAACTGTCTATAATAGGCTTATAATGGGGACATAATAATAATGGGCTCTATCGTAATTCCAGTTAATATGCTTACCATGTGAAACAGCAGTATTGACGTTCATTTATTGCATTGCTTGCTTCTGTTAACACAATGGATAACATTACAGATTGAAAAATAAGCATCAGTTAGTCAACTATTTCTTGCACACATCGTTCCTGTTTTTTTGATACAGCCAATTTTTCTCATTTTAAAGATGAGAGGAGTATTTGTGTGCCGTCAGGCGTAATTCAGAAGCTGCTACTATAAAATTAGGTCAGATGAACAGAACTAACTTAATTAATTACAGTTATATGGTAAGATGGAACCAGACAGTTTATGATCACTTATCACTGTTGAGGTTTTGTTTTCCACAATAAGGTCTGTTCTCCCATTCACTTATAAAAGTGCGAGTTGCTTTATATCTTATAAGTACTGTAATTAGACACGCTCCTGAGACATGAACCTTATGCACTTACCTTTGCAAGATATTCATGATCTTCCTATATAGTCTAACAGTTTCTCAACTGGTGGGTCGTGACCCAGAAGTGGGCGGCAGGACCGCTTTCGTTGACTATGGCAAGTGTGTACATAAAAATATATACAGTGTAACCAAAAATAATTTTTACACTGTGAATAAATGGTTGATGATGAAATTACATAATCTGAGAACAATTCCAGTATAGGTTTTTTACAGTTTTTAAAATTTGCTCTTCGATATCTTATATATTTCCATTTTGGACCATTTCTCCACAGTGTACAATAATTTTTGGCTACACTGTATATACTTTGAAAGTTTGTTTCTAATGTCAGACTTTGTTTTTTAGCAGTGCTATTGTTACTGCGATGTTCTATTTACTATTTACTGTACTATTTTTTTGTTAAATAAATTTGGATCAAAATTAAAAAAAAAAAAAGGTTGTGGTTTAATAACCAAGGAAACACGTGTGTTGAGGTTCTTCCACAGTATGGAAAGGTGTGGACTTTGATTTTTGTGTTTTTCAAGTTTGGATAAGTATGGAAAAGGAGAGAGTATGGAAACATGTTTCCAGACTATTGCAACTAATCAGTCTACTATAATTTCCAGTGAAAAATATCAATGTAGGCTACCTTGCAATGTACAACGCTCACAGCTGGGAAATGCAAGTTTTCACATGTTCGGCTTGCCGATCCCAAGTAATGTAACTGGTTGGCTAAGGATCCCAAATGCGAATTGGAAGCAAAATACAAACTGTGCGTAAAGTTGGTCAACATTTGGAATACGGGCGAGATGTTATAGCCGCATGGTGGGCAGAAATGTTACCGTTTGGTTGCAACCAGCGGCCGGTCCTGGCAGGATGGCCAGTTGGGCGGGACAGCATTCTCTGGGGGCATCGACTTAACAAACCACCCAGGCCAACTGCCTATTTAACGCACTGCGTGTGCCAACTCCTGTTTCTCCACCCAGCCCTGGCAGCTGTTTCCATCACCACCCTGGGGTTGGTGACTTTTAGGTTCTCCACCCTGGATTTTCTTAATTTAAAAATGGAAAGTGTGTAGGGAGCTAGAGGAACCTTGATCTCCCGCCAGCTTTGTTCACTGGTATCTCTCTTTTGTCTCTGCCAGTCCATCACACATCTGATGCTCCCCCCCCCCCTCCGGGTCTCTCTTTTGTCTCTGCCAGTCCATCACACATCTGATGCTCCCCCCCCCCCTCCGGGGTACATGCCATTTTGTATTTTATTTGCCATGTGATCTTTTAATGTCTATGGTCTTGATAATTAACTGGGTATTTCCTTCCCTCTCGTGTCTTTGACAAAAAGGAGATTCATTGTTTTAATCTGTTTAAGATTCATGTTCTAATCATCACTTATGTTTGTGCCACGAATCACGTGGAACCTCTTTCCAAGGCTGGATGGCCCAGCAGGGGACGTAAAACCATAACAACAGGAAGCTCTAGCAGTTGACAATGAAACCCACTCACACTATAATATTATAGTACGCTAGAGACATACCAATATATATTTAATCATAAAGTTAGTGTTATGGGTCTACTTAACTGTAAATAAAAACATGATAGCTATAATTTACTCTACATTTTCTTTCCAAATGCGCTCGGTGTGGTTGTTGTTGTTAAGTTGCTGTGAAATCTATTAATTGTCTGCCCCCTGGCGTTTCTAATTCAAATTTCCCTCCGGAAACTATGACGCGTTCGTTTGTGCAGAATACGAGAAGCTCTTCGTGCGTTTTATAAAATCCGAAATATTAATCAGTTGCAAACAATATATGAGCACACCAGGCAAGATTAAATGCTGATTGTTTCAGTTCAAGGTATGCTAAAGCTTCTGTATTTGTACTTTTAGAATTTGATGAAACTGTAAAACGGAGAAAACATCAGCATTCGGGTGCATATGCACTACAGCATATCAGTGGCCGAGGAAACGAAGCAAAACCAAAACATATTCGCATTAAAATAAAACGTGCTTCTTAGCACAAAATGAATGCATTTCAAATTAAGAAACTAAATATAATACTGTAAACTGCATACAACATAAGTTATATAAGTTGTTTTAAGTATGAAAGTATTTAATGTGGGTTTAAAATATTGTATTCAATTATCTTATAAGGTACATGTATATCGGAAACATTCTAATTCTCATCTATGAATAACAAGCAATTTGTTTTAACCGTAACTGACGGAGCATGCATTGAAGTTTTCAGGATTTCCGCAAGCATGGTAATTACCAAAAACGTTTGAGGGGTGTACCGCAAAAATGAATTAAAGTCGAACTCGAGATTCATTTCTGTAATCTTGAACTGTGGCACGCTGCTGGTGTTCATTCAAATCAAGGTGAAATTAGTGATTTGAATAAGTTGTTTTTGTCTTATTGCCATGTTATACATTTGCGACACATTGGCGATGTAATTTTTTATCGTTTGAAAATATTTGGAAATGTTGCATAGCAGAAAAATATCGTGTGATGTGGCAGAATAGAATAAATTAACCGTGAAATGGCCTCTTTATTTGGTGCCCCTGCCTAGTACTATAGCTAAGACTCACTTTTGCCTCCGGAAATCCCTTCTGTAAACTTTCTCTGCCATTACCCTCCTCGTATAAATAAAAATCACACCCATTCATTCATTCATTTTCCATACCCGTTTGTTGCCAGTTCAGTGTATATGAATTTAAACATACCCTGCGTCCTGTCTAACATTAGATGATTGGTGGACACAAAGTGTACGGATATATTTTTTGTTTATTATTGTGTATAAAATAATATATGTACATTACAAGATTTCTTATGCATTGAAGCCAGCTGTACCGTGTATTTTATGTGATTTTCATAAAAAAAAATTCATGTGTACAATTTTATAAGACTTACCTTGTCAAGTACAGAATATAAATTCCATCCATCCATTTTTATACCCGTTTGTCATATAGTTTGTTTTTTGTTCATATGTCTATCTGTTTAATCGCAATACAAGCTGATATCAATCAAGATTATCAATCAAATGTTTTTTCCATCAGATACAGTTCGTCAGATAAAATATCACTTTTTTTTTTTAATCCACCCCAATACATTTAATAAATAATCACCTTGCAAATCACCAACCGTTTAATGCAAATCGGCATGGACAGTCTTTAATATAGTGTAAAAAATATACACAGTTAAAAAATATACACAGCTTTATCATTTAAAACATTATTGGGGGCTGTCTGGTTTTCCACTTAGTTTAATAGATACGTCTAGAATCTTACGCATAGTAAATGACTGGAGAGAAATGTCAATTTAAAATGAAAAGGGGGGAATGAAAAGGAGAGGCACTGGGATGCATGAATGAACTGCAAGAATACAGGGGATCCAGGCATGCATGAAATGACAAAAATAACACAGAAACAGGAAATGAATAAAAACAACACAGGAAACCCAATTTCTGTTTCAAAAATAGATCAACGTTCTTATTCTCTGCTTCCTCTACCTTCCCAAATCTTTTCTTTTCCTCATGCGTGCATTTTGTTGAAAATGCACTCAATGTTTTGTAGTTTTGGTAAAAAAAAATACATAAGGAAACTTTAAAACCCATGCTTACCTACATCAATCAATAAAATAACAAACATATTAATGTCATGCGTAAAGAAAGCCGGGTTTTGAAAGAATGCACAAGTGAAAAAGCTGTATAAAACATTACAAACACAAAAATGCATGTATACTTTTTACAGTATTTACTAAAACAAGCTTAAATGAGAAATTTTATTAAATGTCTACAACAAATAAAACATTCTTTTAATATCAGAATGAAATTCAGACCTCAGATTTAAAAAAAAAACTGTGATGGGGAATGTACCAACTATTTCTGGTATTATACCAGAAGTGAAAAATTAAGGTGCAGTCCCATTAACATAAAGAGCAAGACCTAATTTGTATTTACATATATAGTATATGAATCATCTCACCTCAGACTGACAAGTCCATGCCACGTTAATGTCAACACAGTTGGTGGTCATTCGGGATGCTCGCCAACCTGAATGCAAACCAGACCTTTATCTGGAAAGCATTCGTTTTGGTTCCGGGACCTTTGTTTTTTGATGAAAAGTTCTTGTTACTAGGCACTTGGAAGAAAACACTGGTGTTTCATGATGGCGCCGTTGATATAAAAGGTCATGTCGATGACTTAGTTATATGAATCACAGTCGCTGTTTCGGTTTGAGGAAGGCTCTCTGCCGGGCTGTACAGACAGTCTCTCCAGTGCTGTAGGATAGCAAATGCAGTCATTGACGCTATATCCAGAGTTACAAAGTTGCAGTTTAAATAAACACTCAGTCTAGTATCCAGTTCTGAACAGTTAGTGCTGGTAACAGGTGACCTCATCATCACGTTTGACACGTGAGTAAGTGAAGATGAAAGCCAAGACAGACATCCAAACCCTGTTGCCATCTTTGTAGTCAAATTACCTGAATTCAGTTATATTAATTAAAACACAACAGTGGACTTAATAGAAATCTGAAGTGCGTTATTCATCAGCTGCACATGTCGTATAAATGTATATAACTAGGTAAACTTTTCTCACAAAGATGGAGCCACATTCAAATGCCGTAAAATTCACCTCATAATCTTGCCAACAAAATGGAAATATGTCATGAAAACGCTTCAAATTTCAAATGGTATAAGTTGTGACTGGTATACTTTTAGCTGTTCTATAGCTGTTTCAAGAACGTTGGTTTACGGGTGTACCGGCATATATTCCACGCACTCACCGGGGTACGAGTATCTTGCTGAGTTGCTGGAAGGCATTCCAGCCTGTGCTCTATAAAACGACACTGACACAACATAAAGACAGATGTCATACAGAAAAATACAGATTCGGTGGTTCCTGTACAAAACGAGTGTATTAACCTACGTGACGGTCCAAGCAAGAGACTGACTAGTGGTTTAGGTTCCAGTGCAAATATAACCAGCTGCTGAACCTTTGCTGGAGCTGCTAATAAAACATTTCGAGGTGATAAAATACAATGTGTGCGCGGCTTTGGGTAATAACGCAGAGCACTTACCACTCTGACTCTGCGTGGGTCCGATCCACTCCCGATTCCGCCGCTTAAACACTGCGCAGAAAAAGCACCATTTATGTACAGAAAACCCACAGTCACAGTGGAAAGAGTTCCGCATCCAAGTTAGCATGGAACATGATGTTTAAGAAACAAGGAAACCAAAGGGATTCAAATCATGTCCCCAGGTGAAGTCTGACTGTAGCATTGCCATGCAAAGCTGAACATTTACCGTATTTTGCTTTTTACAGACATATTAACTATAAAGCAACATGTAGCAAAATAGCCATCCAGAATAGAAGCATATGCTGACCATTAAATATATATATTGGTGTCAGACTGATAAAACCTGTAGCAATCAAAGGAGGATGCAGGTACATTGCGATGTTTCCTATGAGAGGCCTTAGCATGACTACTGAGAGCTTAATTTTCAGTGTTTCTCAACTTACATTTGTTGTAAAGGGTGGTGCACCTCTTATGTCCAAACCTGAGAAGAAGCAGGACTAGGATCCCCGTGATGAGCAGACCAGTCACAGTCTTGTAGCCTGCTAGTTCTTTACTCTTGGGGAGAGCTGGATGAGCAGAATGAAGGAACTGAGACCTCTGCTTTTAAAAAGACACTCTAGTTCTACCACAGAAAGACGCCGAGCACCTTCAAAAATACTCCTTCCTGTCATAAGTGGTGCTCAAAAACCATGAACTTTAGGTTCAGAGCTGATGGCATGGTGAGATAGTATTGAAAATAACTTTCAAAAATGTTTAAAATGCACAAATGTATGCACACCGGCTTACCTTTACACATAATCTCCAGCGTTATACAGTTGTCCTTTGGTATAAATCCATTTACCTCAATCTTGTAACCCGTATGGTTTTGTGACCGTTTCCATCTCTTGAATCCGTCACATCCCAGGTGGGCACAGAACATGTTCTTGAAGGATTCCAGCTTTTCAGAACTGTCGTGACAGAGTGGGCGCGCGTTGAAGTGATTAAATACGTGCTGGAGGTGGAGGGCCCCCTGGCACGAGCTCACCGTGGCATTCACGTTGATGAACGCCAGGACCGGTGGAGGAGGAGTAGCAAATGATGGTGTTGAGGCCGTCCCAGGTGTAGAACATGGCGCACAGTTAGTCGTACAATTGTTCCAGCTGGGTGTCGTTAGATTGGCAGGATGAGTGGACAGGGATTCATTGCACACAACTGCAATAAGAACAAATAAGTTATTTTATTTTTGCTGTTGTTGCTGATGTGATGAATAACCCTCCATCCATCTACTAATTACTTATCCAGTGTAGGATCACTAGGGTCCTGGAGCCTATTTGAGGAAACAGAGGACACGAGGCAGGGAAATATCTCAGACAGTATTCTGGCCCTACCACAGGGCACAAGTACACACGCACGCACAATCACGCACTGCAGCCATCTTAAGGACATCAAATCACGTTACTGCATGTCTTCAAATTGCATGAGAAAACCCAAGTTACAAGGGAAGAAAACAGGATGAACACGGGGTGAGCACAGGGAGAACACAGGGTGAACACGGGATGAACACAGGGTGAGCACAGGGAGAACATGGGGTGAACACGGGATGAACACAGGGTGAGCACGGGGAGAACACGGGGTGAGCACAGGGAGAACACAGGGTGAACACGGGATGAACACAGGGTGAGCACAGGGAGAATACGGGGTGAACACGGGATGAACACAGGGTGAGCACAGGGAGAACACAGGGTGAACACGGGATGAACACGGGGTGAGCACAGGGAGAACACGGGGTGAGCACAGGGAGAACACAGGGTGAACACGGGGTGAGCACAGGGAGAANCAAATGTAAATTTTTCCAGACCTCGGTAAAATACCTTGGTCATGTTATTTCAGAGCACGGTATTCAACCTGATCCTGATAAAGTATCTGCCATTAGGGAGTGGCCTCAGCCACGGACGGTCAGAGACCTTAGGTCTTTCCTGGGGTTTTCAGGTTATTACCGTAGATTTGTACATGACTACTCACGCATTGTCAGGCCTTTGAATGAGCTGCTGAAAGGAGAGTTCTCTACCCGTCGTAGTGGTAGTAAGTATGCGCCCCGCTCTAAGTCACAATTTTTAGGTGAATGCTGGACTGAGGAGTGTCAGAAGGCTTTTGAGCTTGTTATTGAGAAGCTCACAGCAGCCCCCATACTGGGTTTCGCAGATTGGCGGCTTCCTTATATTCTGCACACTGATGCCAGCACCACAGGTTTGGGTGCGGTGCTTTATCAGATCCAAGATGGCCAGACCAGAGTAGTGGCGTATGCTAGTCGTGGACTTTCTAAGTCAGAAAGAAATTATCCGGCTCACAAGTTGGAATTTCTCGCGCTTAAGTGGGCGGTCTGCGAAAAATTCCACGATTACTTGTATGGTGCCATCTTCAAAGTGTTGACGGATAATAATCCATTAACTTATGTATTGACCAGCGCCAAATTGGACGCCACCAGTCATAGATGGCTTGCTGCTCTATCTGCATATAAATTTGACATCCACTATAAATCGGGCACGCGCAATGGGGATGCTGATGGTCTCTCACGGCGGCCGCACACACCACCTTTGGAGGAGGAGGTGGACGAGATAGATAAGAGAATAGCCAGCATGCTTGATCGTGCTAAGCTAGTCCCTGATGAGTGTAACGTTTTGGATAGCAATGCAGTGAGCACTTTATGTGCGAGTCACATGGTTAGGGCTCTTGTGGTGTCTGAAGGTGGAGACGAGACGATAGCAGAGAATTTCATCCCGGCTGTAGAGACACTGCTCTGTGATGACAGTGCGGTTCCGGAGGACCTGGAGGAGCCAGTATTATGGCCTGGACAGCCTACATTGCCTGGGTTTTCCAGCGAAGATTGGCAGAAGTTGCAGGGAGAAGATGCTAGTCTGGCACGCGTTGTACAGCTTTTGACTCTGGATTCCCATGTATTGGATAAAACGTGTGAGCAACCAGATGTACTTTTGTTTCTGAGGGAGAGATCCAGGTTAGAACTCATAGACGGGGTGTTATATCGCAGAGTGCGCAATCATATAGGTGAGGATTCTCATCAGCTGGTTGTGCCTCAGAGTCAAAGAGAGAGAGCATTTAGGGGTGTGCATGATGAAGTGGGGCATATGGGCGTTGAGAGGACGGTGGAGTTGGCAAGGGCCAGATTTTATTGGCCTAAAATGATGCGGTACATAGAAGCAAAGTGTAGGGCGTGTGAGCGATGTGTAAGACGCAAAAGCAAAGTTCAAAAGGCAGCTGAACTTGTGAATATCAAGGTCAGAAGTCCTCTTGAACTTTTGTGTATGGATTTCTTGTCATTGGAACCTGATACAAAAGACACTAGGCATATCTTAGTCATAACTGACCATTTCACCAAGTACGCCCAAGCATACCCAACCCGAGATCAAACGGCTAGAACGGTGGCTGCAGTACTGTGGGAGAATTTCATTTGCCATTATGGATTTCCATGCCGTTTACATAGTGATCAGGGGGCGTGCTTTGAGGCAGAGGTGATAGCAGAATTGTGTAAGTTAGCAGGCATTGTTAAATCACGCACTACACCTTACCACCCCAGGGGCAACCCAGTAGAAAGGTTTAACCGGACTCTACTTGATTTGTTAGGGACTTTGGAGGAAAAGAAGAAAGAAGAATGGAGGAAGTATGTAAGGCCGTTGGTGCATGCCTATAATTGCACAAAGAATGATGTTACGGGTGAGGCACCGTTCCTTCTAATGTTCGGACGACAACCCCGACTGCCAATTGACTTATGTTTTGGGATTAGTCCCCGTGGTCATGATTCTAAAACACATTCACATTATGTGCGTGACCTTAAAAGCAGGCTTAAGTATGCGTATAACTTAGCCTCAAAGAATGCAGAAAAACGTCAGAATCTGAACAAAAAACGGTGGGATTCTAAAGTAACGGCTATGCCCTTAGATGTTGGCGATAGGGTTCTTGTTAGGAACTTGGGCCTTCGAAAGAAACATAAAATTTCAGACAGGTGGGAATCTGCTGTACATGTAGTGTTGAAACAGCCGGACCAAGACATCCCTGTGTATGTGGTCAAGACTGAGGGAGGAGAGGGTAGAGAGCGAGTTCTCCACAGAGATATGTTGCTCCCTTGTGGATTTTTGCCTGTGGATTTAGGAATAGGGGACGGTGCAGACACAGGGCATGTCCCGATTACTCAGATTTCCACACGAGGCAATGATGAGTCTGGGCTAGAGTGTACACTCATGTCAGATGCAGAAAAACAGTCTGTGATGCAGGACGAGTCAAGATCACTGGGAGGGAGTGAGCCATTTATCGAAACTTCCTTAAATCCAGAAGCTCCTGAATTTTTATTTAGTTATGAGTTCGATGGAGAAACTAATGGGAGTTCTACCCCAGCACAAGGTAGGCCTCAAAGGAGACGGATCCCCCCAGCTTACCTAAGTGACTACCAAGTGGGCTCCCACATAGGTTGTAGACCTCAGATTGTTAACTTGCCAGTTAATAGCATGGTAATTCATGAGTGCTTAATCTCCTTGCATAAGCAAATTTTGGAATTATTGCAGTTCTGGACAGGATAATATGACAGGGATGTCATATTTTTTGAGTGGGGGGAGGATGTAACCCACATGGTATTTGGAAATTGATTTTANAGGGTGAACACGGGGTGAGCACAGGGAGAACACGGGATGAACACAGGGTGAGCACAGGGAGAACACAGGGTGAACACGGGGTGAACACGGGATGAGCACAGGGAGAACACGGGGTGAGCACAGGGAGAACACAGGGTGAACACGGGGTGAGCACAGGGAGAACATGGGGTGAACATGGTAAGTACAAAAATGCACAGAGCTGAGATTAAATTCAAATGTGCCGCCCTGGAGAAGTGACATCACTGTGCAAGATTATTATTATTATTATGTTTTTGTTGTTTGACCAATTTCTGTAACTGCATCTATATCATTACAGTAAAAGTAATACTGATCATAGCAGCAGTAGCAGCAATTAAAAGTTTTACTTTTACTCTTTTCCTTTTAAGACAGGACTAACTTTTATATGTCTGCTTCAAGCAAGATGCATAAAGTGACCTGAACTGCAGCGACCAAACGACAAGCAAAAAACACTGCAAACGACAGCATCTCGAAAACGCTGCATGCCATACATCTTCAGTCATGTTCCTGCAGATCACCTGTTCCTGCTTGCTTGTATTGAATTAGCATTGACTTGGCTGTTATGACAATATCTGCATGTTGCCTCTAAGCAACTGAAGAGTGTTACATGTAAATGCAAACAAAATTTTAAAAAGCTAATTTTACTTCGTTCGTTTCTGTTATGTATCTGACACAATAGCAAAAACTCTACAACTAAAATTAAATTACTGCTGCAAGAGTGTCGTTTTTAAGAAGGTGAACAATCATAATTGCACTTGCATTGTTATTTTAACAACAAACAAACTCTCATTTATAAATTTGCTCAGCGCACCTAATATCTCAATTCACAAATATCAAGACTGGTGGTCAGTTATAATTACCTAATTGCAAGTTCAGCAGGAACAACAACAAGATTACATAAGAAGGCTGTCACACTGCTGCTGTAACCCAAAATCACTCCACAGCTGGAGAAATGGCCCTAACTGATCAAACATACAGCCAACGTGGAATGTGTACCCTGCATCGTTTGACAGAAATTACATTCGTACCTAACCACAAAAACATAATGCGTTATTGCCGCTTAGACAATACTAATATTAATAAATATGCTAATAAAAAAATGACGCTTGTTTTTTTAATCCTTATTCTGATGTGGAACTATGACTATGAAATCTGCCGAATCATGGCTGAAGCATTTCGACACCTATCTGAAAGTCATCGCATTGCTTGCAGTAACAATCTAATACACCCATGCATGTAATTCTTCACTCACCAATTAGCATGCGATTATTTTGCCCCGCCATCACCTCACCATCTTGCCACACTTGCTAAGTTAATTAATTGAGCTGGTGGTGAAATTCAATGAAGACATGGCATGGTTTTGGTGCCCCTGAGGAGATGTTTGGGAACTGAAACAGTGTTCATCTGGCCGTCCAACAAGATATGAAGATATAACTTTTTGGAGAACAGATGAAATGCTTCTTTGGATTTATCATGTCACTGATCCATACTGAACTATATTCTTAAAATATTTTAAAACGTTTTTTTCTGAGCAAATAAACACTTACTTCCCAGATAAATGTTTGATGGCCTGCGACTTTTGCACCGTACTGTAAATAATACGTTCATAATACTTTTTTGATGCACGTTAAAGTGTGAAATCAAGAAGTTTCCAAGGCGAAGTTTTACTTCTGTATGATAACAGGCCAAATACATTCCTGTTGTTCCGTTTATATTGAAAAAGGCGCCAAGTGTTTGCTTATATTCAGATACAACAAACGGACTGCTATGTTTATTGAACCAAAAACAAAACTTACCAAACAGTAATACGGCAATAATTGTCAGCTTCACCATCGTCACTGAAAGAGTAATTTAAAGTACAAGGTTATCAAATACGCAGGGATGAGTCTCACCGGTGAGGTTTAAAAAAATCATAAATGTATGCAAATCTAATTTATGCTATCAACTTAAGGCTAAATAAACACAACAATGGGGAGATGAATTTATTAAAAATTGTTGAGAAAATAATGAACGGCGCCAGTATAATGGTTATATCCTAATAGGGCCTACAATTTTTTTTTTTTTTAAAAACAGCAAGACCGAGCATGTCATTTTCTATAATCGTAACAATTACTGTCACTGTTAGGCTGACTTCCATCAGATATCTGTGTTATTTAGTTGGATAATCTCATTATATTCCAGTTAAAAAAGTGTTATTACAAGACAGAACATTACTTTAAATCGATCTCATTTTGCATCAGTCAAATTCATGTCTTACCCCTAGAAGTTTTCGCAGAGCGAGAGATATGGAGAGAAGCACGAGAGACCGAAGACCAGCACGAGAAATGAAGGTGAAGGAAGTGTGCACGAGAGAAATAGTGCGTCTCTCCCGTCGGCTCTGCTGCTCTTTCTCGGTCTCTCTGCATACATAGAACTTCCTTGCATCAAAGTGTGTTAGCGATGAAAAGAGAGAAGAAAAAAAAAGAAAGATGGGGGTGGGGGAGAAGGGAAGCATAGAATAAGCAGATGAACGAGGAGTGAGAAAAAGAAAAGATACTTAGCGAGTAAGAAATGATTGCGATGTTTATGAGACAGAGACTATGTTAATTTTTTCCATTTTTATGCTCCCCAAGGTGCACAAAATTGCGTCACACTTAAGTTTCTCACACGCATGGTGCAGACAGTGTGTTACGTACAGTGTCCAGTGGATACCTGTGCAGACGCTGCAATAAATAAAGATCTGTTTACTCTCTATTCTATGTATTCCATTAAACCACTAGTCGCACCAGGACACAAGTCAGTAGACGAGTTATGACTGTTGTATGATTCGGTTCTCACTTGGTTTCATTTTCTTTCATCTTTCGCGGGTGGTTTACCGTTCAATGGATTTACTGAGAAAAATACCCAGTGCGCAGCTCCAGCTCATCTCCTGTGTACAAGTTACTGTACTACAATAGTTATTTTTTTTTCTTCTTTTTCCATCTACCTGCTTAAAAAGGTAAATAATGTAAAATGGTGTGTGGTATCTTTAAATTGCATTTGCAAATATATTGTAATTGTGTATTTCTTCTGATAAATTACGGTTGTTTATGGTTTACGAATGGATTTCAGGTCTGTTAAGTTACCTGAACAATAAACAATGCATTGTTAGAATATGCAGCGCCTTACAGGAAAGCGGTCTGGGCAAAATGCATTACATTATTATAGAAAGTACTCTACATTCAGAACCGATATTAATAATCGTACTGAAATGTTTCAACTTCCAGTGTGAGCGATTTGCGAGAATGTCGTCAAAACAATATGTTAAAGACCCATTTAGAACAAATATATTTTGTATAAAATTATGTAGAAATTCAACTATGACGTTTTCATGCACTCATCGTTTTCAACACTCCGTTTGATACTGTGGCGATCCATATAGGTGATCCCTAAATCCACGGAGAAGTAGCATGCCCAGGTTGAGACATCAACCCACCACACTATTAGCCTACCTTAATTTTAAACAGGCCTACTCTATTACTTCTGTATTAGTGTTTATATTTGCACTTAAATGTTTTGATACAAAATGTTTTGAAGTACACAAGTATAGTTAACGGTTCATAGTCAGAAATCACTTTTAAAAGTTAAAAGCTGAAATAAATATGGGTTTCAATGTTTCGATAATATAAGTTTCTTTTTATATGAAAAAAGAAAAGCATATTTATTAATCAAGGCACATACAATACACGCAAAATAAACTCAACTACGGGATGGATCCCGATATTTTTCTAGTCTCATGTTTGTTATTCTTGTTCTTTGTTTAGATCTCAAGTTTAATTGCATTTTGTTCAATCAAATAAATACACGTCAACACATTAGATTTGTCACAAGAATATCAAATACTTGTTTCGTAACACTTAAAGTTATTTAATCTTTAATGCAGTTATAAGTTTAGTTCCAAACACAGTCCTTTATGTTGCTCCACGAAACGGCAAAAAGCAGCGTTTTTCCGACCTTGTATGATTCTGCAATGATATCCTTACGTTCGTGGTTGTGTGAACCAGCAATATATCGATTTTTATTTGAATATGAAGAACATCTGACATAATTTTATTTGTTGGGATTCATTTTAGATCATTTTCACGTTTCTGTCCCTCGGGATTACATCGTCAGAGAAAGGGTCCGGCCCTGGTACAGTTTTGTTCCCCAGGGTATACAAACAACATTAATGTACACCAATGGTACAGAGATGTTCCCCAGAGTTCATTTCTGTACCTTAAATTAGAATAAAAGGTACATTTACCTACAACTAGAGTACAACTGCAGGCAGACCCTTGAGGGGTGAAAATTGGTACTTTTTTCAGACAGTATATTTATATTACTTTTCCCCCTGCAAATCATTTATTAGTCATTTCACCAATATCATTTCATTGTTTCAAACGATACATATCTTCACGTGTGATACAATTTTATACGTATACCTATAAGTAGTAATTTAAATGAAGTTATCAAAGAGGTGAATCCCGTAAATCACACATGCGTATCATGTTATTTTATGCAAAGATTTTCTTACAGATGAGTACATCTGAGTGAACGTCTGTTTTTCTGTAGAGTATATTTCACACTGCTACTGCAGAACCATTTAAAATGCCAAAATCAAAAATCATGGTCCCTGATCAGGTCAGTGCTCTTAATATGTAATCGTATTACACATTACATAGTATTACATAATATCTTAATATATAATAGTATTAAACATTACATAGTATCTTAATATGTAATATGCAGCAACTATAAATATAATACATTGACCAAAACAGCATATTTACCCACTGCACTACTACTCGTTTTTCCCTATTTTTTCTATCGCCATTTTCGGTTCAGCACCGCTTTCCACATCAGAAAGGGACAGATGAATAATGTTTCTCTTTCACACATTCAAGAAGAAACCAAAGCTGGCGGTACGAAATTAATGAAGGCGTATGAGCTCCGGCGTGAGTAGGCCGCGCTTTACTACAGAGCATGAAGATCGAGAGTGAAAATGACCTGGCAGCGAAGGTGGGGGAAAATAGGCCCAGCTGCCTATCACATCAAAAAGCAGACGTTTGGTTTTTTTTTTTTTTGAGATCGCATGCATGTTATGCAAAGAATAACCATCTGGAACGCTCTTAGTGTACACTGGACATATTTCCCCTATGCTTTTATCCAAACTGACATACAGTTGAGGGTCAGACAATTCCGGAAGCAAATGGACAAGTGATCCTGAGATTCAAGCCAGTGACATTCGAATCACAGATGGCGTCCCAACCCTCTGAACCGAACGTTAAATACAAGGTTGCCAACTCTCGCGCGCATCTGGCTTTAAATTCTCATGCTCACGCAAGAATTCTTAAGGCATGTCCATACTGTTTCATTATAAACCTAAAATTAGCTACATCAAAAGCGTTGGGTAGTCTGCAAACCCTAGACCGTTTACAAGGTAATAAAACTGTTACATACATGTAAATGCGTGTGTATGTGAGTAGAGAATATCTCACGACAGCCAGCTGACCGAAGTTGGTAACCCTGTAGGTATAAGCCCCAATCTGAAATAACCACCACTTAGTTAATGCAAAAACACTTATCTGACGAAGATTTGTCAATTCCGCTGTTTTAATTTACCGTAAAGAGAAAATACTGTGCATAAGATATAACACATGAAACTTGCATTATAATTCTTAGTGCTGTTAAAACCTAAACGAGATTTAATAAGTAATCCATCAGCAAAGATTCTAAGGATGTTTAACCTTTGAATTATTTGATCTAAAGTTCTTAAGCTGAAATGAACATTGGAAAATGAACAGACTGACAGGATGGATGGTGGGAAAATATACTATTATCATATACACACAATTATTTCTGAATCTGTTTTGAACTTCGTTTTCTTTAACGATGATTGATTAAAAGTTCATCTGGGAATTAACAGAGCGCTTTCACAGTCCTTGGTACTGACTCCACAACGAAAATGTTTCTGAACTTGAAACTGATGGTGCGATTTTCTAACTGTACCTCAGGCTACTAACCCGAGGGCAGACGGGACATCCTCTAACGCAGGGGTGTCAAACTCATTTTAGGGTGAGGGCCGGATGAGAAGAAAATGTGACCATGTGCGGGCCGAATTTATTATTATTTTTTTTTAATCATAGTGCATCAAATTACAACAAATGCACTATATTCTGTAAAACTGCATTTAACAAGTCCTCAGGAACTGTTCATTAACACTCATTCCTTTTTAATACTACTACTACTAATAATAATAATGATGATAATAAAAAAGATTTGATATTTAATACTATTGTTCAAATCATCCCGCGGGCCGTATTGGACACCATAGTGGGCCGTATTCGGCCCGCGGGCCGTATGTTTGACACCCCTGCTCTAACGCTTTTTGTACTTGAGGCTCCTGTGTTGGACTTAAGGCTCAGCATCGCAGGTCCATAAACACGCTCATCGGGCCCTAAGTACGGAGGCAGAACTGCGCCGGAGATGTAGGCTACGTGACCGTACATGTTAAGACAGATTCAAATGCCAAGTAATAATCCTTAATAGAGAATGACAATAGTATATTACTGTAAACTGTAAATGAATTATTATTATTAAAATTATTTCGTACTCAATATTATTTTCGTTTAACTTTAAGGAAATACCACCATACTGTGTAATCGCGTTTGTCTTTTCATGGGTTTTTGTGGCTGGTATAGGATTATGTGAGCGGACCATATACCATGTTTGTTGTTTTAGTTAATTGGCCTGTCTAGTGTCTACCAATGGTAACTTTGTACTTTGAAAAAATCATCAAAAGCGTTGGGTAGTTTGCAAACCCTAAAGACTATTTACAAGGTAATAAAACTGTTACGTGCATGTAAACCAGCTAGCTGACCAAAGTTGATAACCGGTCTGAATCTAAACGTAGCTACAAAGATCTTCGTGGGCAGACAAAGGTTAGTATGTCTGCGTATGTATGTGTGTGCGTGCAGGAGTTTGTTAAAATTATTAACTAAATTAATTAGACTAACTTAGGAACCCGTTAGTTGGAGATAATTTCGCCATTAACTGCTTTGGATTAGTTTTTACGTTCTTAAGTTTTTGTTGTGTGTTTATCGTTATGATAATTAAGTCTATATATAAGCATTTGATAATGGCTATTTACATCAATAATTGTTGTTCAAGTTAGCTATAGCTTTAATTTAATTAGATTCTTGGTAGCCTATCGACAATTTTGACTGGTGTTAGTGTAGGCCTATACAATAAAATAATAAGGAGATGTAAATGAAATGATTCTAGAGACTTGAGGATTCAGTGATTTACTTGCGTTAAATTATCATGCGGTTTAAACGTGGCCATTTTTCCACTCATGGAAGAGAAAGGTGCACCTTTCAATCCCATGCAGAGATACTGACCCTGTCATCGGCAATAAGAAGTACCGGTCCCTCACTGGATTATACAAACAAGGGAGCCGATGCACGAGGCCCGTGTGCATCAGGCCTTCGCTCGCAGCGAGCTCGGTAGGCGGTCCGCTTCCTGCCTTCGCATGTGGATCCGTCGAGAACGGAGGAGGAGGTAGAAAGAGGTAACGCGGTACCCTGAAGTCTGTCCCAATCTAATCTAATTTTTGCTGCTCTGAACTCAGAGTCTTCTTCCTTTATTCTGTCATTGTAAGATGGATGCGAATTGTGACAATTATGCTGACATTGCCCCACTTAACAGAGCCTGTGGACTGCAAGATACCGTCGAGCTCTCGCTTTCCTCTGGAGCTTCCACCGAGCGGACGGACCGCTTCGGAAACTTGCCATTAAAATTGGCAGCGCGCTGCTCTGTTCCCGTGCCAAATGACTGTAAGCAAGAGATATTTATTTTGTGGTCAGTAAACTCTAAACTGTTTTTAGTGCCGCAGAATTAATTTTGTTTATGTTCATAAATTTGTCCTTCTCATATAGAGAAAATATAAGGCTGTATTTTATTAACTTGGTCATTAATTTATTTTTATTTAATTTAATCAGTATAACACTGTCAGGAACTAATGAAAAAAAATCTTATTAGGAGAGCAGCAATTTATTACACTGTTACATGCTGTTGTGTCCATGTGCTCTTGTTTTTGCCATCCTGCTCCTTTGTGGCTCCATCCCTCCCTTCCAGCTCCTTGCTGATCCTCTCATCACAGACACGTCCATCTGCTCCATTGCAGATCTTCCCTCCGCATCCCTGCTTCTGGCTTCCCACCTTCCCTGGTTCTGTGTATTATTCTAGTTGTCAGACTTTAGCTCGTATTTCCTGGTTTCGCTTTTGACGTTCCTTTATTGGCACCTTGGTCTCAGGTTTTGTTGACCGCTTGGTTTCCTGGATTTTGTTTTCGGCTGACTGGCTGTGATTTTCACTTACCCTCTTTGTACTGTCACTTCTGTTTATTTGTGCATTAGTCTGGTGTATAGGGAGTGGCTGCCATTTTGTGTGATGGTGTTGTTTTTGGTTAGGCAGAGGGTGAGAGAAGACAGCTGGGATTGTTCACTAAGTTGCTCTGAATTTGTTATTTGGCAGAGGTCACTCTAGGGGCCTGTATCAGGAGACAGGATTTCTGCCAGATACGTTTTCAGATTTAAGGTAGTCTGGGCTAAATGTGAGCGAATGAAGTAAGTCCATTTACCCCAGACTACCTTAAATTCAATTAGTTATCTGGCTAAGCAAGAAATCTGGCTTTGTGATACAGGCCCCTGAAGTCCATTACTGTTGTATTGTTGTCCTTCTGCTGCAAGTGTGTGTATTGCGACCTCTGTTTTCAGTATAGCCACCTCAATGTACAATCCTTTCACCCACCAACAACATTCTGTTATGGCTCATCCAGAGTCTGGGTTGTCACTTACAGTACCAGTCAAAAGCTTGGACATGACTGCCATAGAAAAATGTAATTATAATACAACATTTTAGAATACTTATGAAGACATCAAAACTATAAAAGAACACTGATCACACTCATTGGCTGCTTTTCCTTCACTCTCCGGTCAAACTCCTCCCAAACCATCGCTACTGTGGTCAGGTGACCAGGTCACGTGATGCGACACTATCGCTCTCCATTGTAGGCGGCTTTTGACTGGCACTGTACACCACTATTCAAAGACCAGTATGGTTTTTATAAAACAGCCTGTACATTGTGAATCAAAATGCGTGGCAGCAAATTCCCAAATAAACATTGCAGCCATGTTTCATCTGTAGAACGGCAGTTTTTAATTCACTTATGAGATTGCTTCTGTCGCTGGTCTGGGGTGCTGTTTGCTGGATAATCCACCAAGGATTCGCATTCTAATACACATAGCTGGCTGTGAAGAGAGATTGGGTGGCGGCCTGGTTAGCTTCACCTGCAGGCTTGTATTCTCCCCTTGATGCTAGGCCATTAATCTGTGGAAGACAAACAGCAACTGTAAATGTTCACTTTAAAATGTATTTAAAAAGTGAAGTAGACCAGTGACTCCCACAAAGACTCAGCATTTTGCTCATGGGAGTTTTACTTGCACAAAAATGTTCTGAGGGCAGAAGGAAAAATGACTGGTTATCTCTCAGAACCAATCAGATAGTAGAGGAGGTGGGTCCAAGCAACTAAAGGAGGCAGGAACAACCAATCAGATGTCCTGGTCCCTTCTCCTCTAGCTGCTTGGACCCACCTCAGAACTCTGGTTCTCATTCTGAACCAATCTATCATCTTTTTTGTTCCATCGTCAAAGCATTTCTGTGTATGAAATTCCCATAAGCTTAGAGCTCCTCCCCCTCAATATTAACCCGATTACCTTGGCTCGTGTGCAAAAGGCATTTTGTGCAGCCTGCTTGTTTTCTTGCTTGCCTTTCCAGGCAGATAGGGCAGAAGCCTGCAGGGCACGGCCGTAGGAAAATGTCAGTTTCCAGGGTCGGTGGAGGGGCGTTTGATTTATTGCATTAAGGTTGAGAGAGGCCTCCTCTTCACTCTGGCCTCCGGACAGGAAGCAAATACCTGTTGGCAAAATTAAGCAAAACAAAAACAAGACAGAACTGAGGAATACAGTCAAATCATAGTCCCTTTACACAGTGAGCATCTATTAGATCCAGAGAAAAATCTGCATCGCTTCCAGTTTGGCAGCCTTTTCAATGCCTCAGCACAACTTTATTTTTCTGATTTTTTCCCCCGCCCCTCGTACCAGGCACTGAGGCGGGCACTGTACGCCTCAGGGCTGAAACTGTCGCCATGGCGACCTCTTCAGGGCTGAACTTCTTAGGACACGAATGCCCTGCAGTGACCATGTTAGGCTTCAGCAGGGTGCCTTCCAGGTAGACATGATGGTCGGAGAGGGCCTTGTACACGGCCGCCAGCACCTGGAAGGTTTCCCAGAGTGAAGTCGAACATCCTACGAGACGTAGGCAGCATTAGCGAAAGGCTAATAAGCGCATGCGAGCGCGTACCTTCTCAGTCACATACTGACACCGCTTCAAGTCATGGTCTCCATCCGGCAAGATCTCAGGCTCCACAATAGGAACCAAGCCATTCTGGGGTAAAGAGAAAGGAGGATTGTCAGGGGATTCTGCATGGAATGGGATGAATTGATTCTAATACGAATCTTCACTAATATACATAATCGTTAATATAATGTTTCAATTGGAAGTGCAACTTCTGTGTAATAACATGCAAATATCTGAGGTACTGCAGTATCAGATCGTGTGACAGCTTCATACCACAACCCATCAGAATTCTTAACGTTAAACATCCACGAATCTCTGCCTAACCAAATGTCATTCCAGTTCACTACCGTTTACCTCACAATAACTCCATGGACCTATATTGCGAAATGTTGCAGTGTTCAACGTTTCGTGTTGTTCTTGTCCGTCTGCAAGTTGTACTCTTGTTATACGTCAATGTATATACGTCATGCACCCCTGGTCCATGGAGGGACTTTGTCTCATCACACTATGTACACAGCTGCCGATAACAATAAAGTACCTTGAACCCTGAAATATAGTTTTGGCACAAATACAGCAATCATTTGTAAGAAGTAAAACAAAGCCCGATGATATGTCCATTTCTGTTAAAGGTCCACATTCTGCACTGCGCAAAAGCTTGCTCACCGTCAGCCTGAAAATAACGTCACTTAGTTCTCCTGTGGTACCAGCCGGACAGATTGCGCATGAAGGACGTGAGCGGGGGGTGAGGTACGCACCTGCTGACAGATGCTGGCATATCTAGCGAGTACGTTGGCATTCTCAGCGATCGCAAGGGCCGACGGGCAGCCGTCAGAGATCTTCAGCACGCACCGCCACTTGGCAAAGTCACAGCCGTCTTTCTTGTACTGGGCACAGCGCTCCGCCAGACCATCGAGCCCTGAAACGCAGAGCCACAGCAATGCACCACGCTCCTCTACCCATCCATCCATCCATTGTCCAACCCGCTTATCCTACTGGGTCGCGGGGGGTCCGGAGCCTATCCCAGAAGCAACGGGCACGAGGCAGGGAACCTCCTCTACCCAAAGTACATATTTGAATTATAAGCAATGCTTGACAAATACATTTTGAATTTCAATTTCAAGTTTCTTCGCCATAGACACGTCACCAAGCAGGTGCATGAATATTGGATTTATGTATGCGAGATGAAACTGATAAAAACAATAAATACGAAGCACATCAAAAGACTGAAAGTTATCAGCATCAAAAGATATTGGTTATACGCAGTACTGAAGAACAGAAAACGACATCCACCTTGTGTTGTTGTTTCCCCGTCTGTCCCGTTCAGACCGGCTGTTCCTTTGTCCACCTAGAAATGACACCAAATCAATACCTGATAACAGCAGACAGCTGCAGGCCGGGTGAGGAATGCGCCACTCGCCCGCTTACCTTGATGCCCACCACGATGCCCTTCTCCTTAATGAGCTTAGGGAACAGAACTCCCTTGTCAGACTTCTGGTACAGGGTTTCATGGAAGAAGATGACTCCGCCTATGCTGTTGGCAATGGAGGAATCGACAGAAAAGAGCAGGTCGCGGAAGAAGCGGCGGTTCTCTTCGTTATTCTCCACGTTTATCTTCTGAAGGCGCTTCCCCATAGTACCTGCGGAATGTCAGGGGGGGGGGAATGAAACGTGGGGGCACTAAGGGCATGGGGACCCTGGCAGATTAAGTGGGGGGCAGCACCTTACAGGGGCCACTGAATACATACAATTGGGTGCAGGGGGATGGGGGGGGCAGAATTTCCAGCAATGCCCCTGGGATGTGATGGCCAGCTCAGCAATGCGAGCAGCACACTTGAGTATCGCCTTTGATATGATTTAACGCTTCAAAATAAAAGTATCTGGAGATCCATCCCACATTTTAACCCAGTTTTACGCTCACCAACAGACTCATCTGCTGCAAGGATGCCCTTTCCAGGAGCAACTATGCGCTGGGCAATGGTGGAGAGCTCCTTCTTCTGCTCTGGAGAGAGTGACGGGTACTGATGAGTCATCCTACAAAATAAAAGCACCCACAGTATGAATAGTTGTTGTACTCGATAAGCCAGTCTAGTGACTGCCATAACACATAAACCGCACAATGTACAGCTTATAATTTCTGCTTCGCAATTAACTTGAGTGCATCATCGATGTGGATCTACGTGAATATCGGTGTCCTCAGCGCATTCCTTCCCTGTGATCAGTATGCCTGTGTCAATGTTTGCCTTGTGTGCGCCTCGAACTTCAGTCTAATAGGCGATCGTGTCAGCATTTCTAGACAAACAAGTTCACAGTTCACCGCGAAAGGCCAAAGTCTATGCAAGTTTGGTCAGGAAAAAAAACATCCTGCATAAGTAAAGTGCTGCACTATCAAAGTTAAAATTCCACAGCAAGTTGCCTAAAACTCAGTATATTACATGGCGACAGTCATGTTAAGTAACTGACGTACTAAATCGCGCAGATCCAATGTTTACTAAGAAACAGCTTAAATCAACAATCGTGCATTTTGACATGGGAAGTGTTAAGCACGAGAACAATCGTGCATTTCTTTTTAAAAGCAAAGCAAATACTCATTTATATTTATGTTTTAAAATAAATTTCATTTTAAAAACATTTTACCTAACTGGAAAGGAAATTTCGCCACAAGCCGTAAAAAACTGAAATATGTTCTAGACTCGAGATCCTTATTACATTCGCGTGCCAGTTCGTCCACTTCAGAAACACTCGAACTACTTGTTATTCTACTGCATGCATTTAATTATAATTCAGCACGTTAACTTCGCAACAAGACCAAACAACCATTTACCTAAATATGATTTAGCAGGTATTAAAAAGAACATAAGGCTTACTTATTGAAGTCTTGATTGCGATTGCTGAAGTAAGAACGCCTGGCTTCCACGGCAGTTCACAAAAACTGGGAAGAGGCAACGGGACTGACGCGCTATTTAAGAAAAAACCCCAAAGCTGCAGATGACAGGAGAGGAGTAACGTGGCGAAGGCGGATGGCGGCTCGAAGAATTTCACTGGCCAGCAAATCCTGAAATGGGAGTGGTTTGACTTTTTTTTTTAAATCAAAATGTTAACAAATTATGCTACAAGAATACGTCTAGTCTCCCGTCATCCAGTCAAAAGAATCAATCGTTAGTATGCACTGACTTTCCTTAAGTTAATAAAAAAAATGTGTAATGTTTTTCCGTGACGCGTATACAGTATAAATATACACATTGCTGTTTTCAAATAAATAATAACAATAGGCCTACGTGTATGCCGGTTCTGCATAATTCATTGACAAATAATGAATTCGTGCTTAGTTTTTTTTTCTTTCCTATGTAAATTATTTAGTTGTCGGTGAATACGTTTAATAGACACACATTTTAATAACTCCTTCTTCAACTATACTTTAGCCGAACAAGAACCCTTTTACACAGTTTTTACATAGTTCTGTGTTGAGTTTAAATCTCAACTGACCTCAAGCAGTGATTTCAAAAAAGCAAATTGCAACACCGAAGGAAGACTTATGTGGCAATGTGTGCCACGAGTTTGAAGTTTCAATTGATTAGATTGATTTGGGAGAAAAAATTTGAAATGCTCATGATGTGAAAAGTGAGTGCAATGTACATTACGTTATTCGATGGCGCAATAAAACATGAACGACTGTCTAGCTCACAACAACCGAAAAAGGTAGCTACCTGTGGCCTGTACTACGAAGAGGGGTTACTGGCTTATCGGGGTAACTTGCTGGATTTAAGGTAGTCTGGGCAAAATGTAAGTGAGCGAATATGAAGTCCATTTAAACTGTGGTACCTTAAATCTGACAAGTTACCCCGATAAGCCAGTAACCCCGCTTCGTAGTACAGGCCACTGGTCTACTCCGACTCTGGGTTCCCAAAGTTGAATATCAGAAGGGAGCTCATTTCATCTTTTATATTAAATATATTTGACATGTTATGTTAAATGAATAACATCACCGCCGACGCCCCCAGTCCGAGGCAAAATGAAATCGACTGGCAAGTATGCGCTCCCACTGAAGTCGGCGCCCTAGTCGACCGCCTATGCCGCTGCATGCTTACGCAGCGAGTTTTTCCTGATCCAAGTTCTACTGGTAGTGCCAGTTCAGTCCTCCGTCCACGAGGTGGCGAAATAACGCCCGGCGAGCGCAGCCAGGAGGGTCGCGATTGGCTGCAGTTTCGTCCCACAGGGAAGGACATCCGCTCGTACCAGCAGAGCAATTGCCCAGGAAGAGTTTAAATAATAAACAGCTAGCTGTCTCTATAGCTAGTTTTCAAAATCGGTAAGGATCTAGATTTAGTGGAAAGTCTTCTGGAGATAGCTAGTCCGCCAGGAGACCGTTTAGCTCCGGGGTTTGGTTTTAGTCCGCTGACTAGCTGTGTCTGTTTCATATGTACTGTGTCGGTACTCTTCCCCCGTCTACTTGCACCAGTTTAAATGTAATAGCTAACGAGTTGGGTAGAATAAACTGTTATGCATAGCGGTTGCTTATTTTGTAAGAATTACACATCTGTGCAGTATAACACTAAAAAAAATAATTTCACTCTTTTATTTGATGTGTCGCGTTCATTGCTACTAGCTAATGTTTAGCCCTTCACAAATTCAGACCGTTTTGGAAAGCGATAAAGTAACTAAAAAATAAACCATATCCTATAGCACAAGTAGTTACTGTGATTTTATTAGAACAGTAATATAGCTTTCTACCTGACAGTTTTAAATTCTGTAATTTAAAGTGTGTAACCCCTTAGTGACGACGTTAAATAACCCAGTTATTTTCTGGGTGATTAAAATGAAAAGCATCATTTATCTTTTATACCGAAATAATGACGTGCTTCTCCTTCACATGCTGTCCGGTTGGTCACGTTTCCTACACTGTTGCTAACCTGTAGATGCTGCAGTCAGCTTAGACCTTCCCCGATGGTCCAGATGTTAGTATGCTGGTTGAATGTATCTGAATTGACACTTAGATAAAGCCATTAGGACCTCTTACAAGAAACTTTTAACACCTTACATGTTTTCTTCTAAATCTTCCACCTCTTTGTAGGGCTAAACCCCAACCTATGAGTGCTAAGGATGTCAGGACAGAAACGGTCATATGACCCCTGCAGCTCCAGCTCTTCGAGCGGACCCCCGGAGAAGCGGCGGGAACGTGAAGCAGGGGATGATGGAGCTGGGGTGGGAGCAGGAGGAGGGAGCACCGCCGTGGAGACGGTCATCAAACTGGGTGGGGTGTCTAATCTGGTGAGTTTGCTTGCCTGTGCATTTCTGCCTTAAAGTTTGTCTAAAATACTTTTTTGGCTATGATCAAATTCTTGAGTCAAGATGGTGCTAAATATGGAGTTAGGTAACTGTTTTTGCACAGGTTATTTGGCACATTTAATACTATTATACTCTAAGAAGTTTTGCCCATCAGAATTACAAGATTTTTGCTTAATCGTCCTGGATTATACTGCATTCTTATAATACACGTCTAATTTTAATTGGTCTTGTTATACTAATTAACAAGCATTTTCTGAAAGCTCATATTGCAGTATTGCAAACATGACTGCTGGTGGCAGTATCTCAGATGAGCTCAAAGTTAAATAATATAAAAGGCAGACAAATTAGCTACAGAGATTTTGCTCCTAAATTGTCTTTTGATTTTTTTTAACAGGAGGAGCAGGACATTAAAGCTCTCCAAGTGAAGAACCGAAAATTGGGGGAAGCTCTCGATCAACGACAGGTACTTCCGTCATACTCTTTAGTTTAATGTGTGTTGTGTACATTTATGATCTCCACGTAAAAGTGTTCTAGAGCAATCAACAATTTATTTTCAACCTCCTTATGCTGAAATCACACCTTGCCGGAACGCGGTTTCACCTCCTTCAACCTTACCCTTTTTTTCTAAGGTCCGGTAATTTAGTAAAATATCGGTTTAAGAAAAGGCCACTTTTGCACTAAACATAATGTTTTTTCATCAGCTTTAATGTTCAGTTTTATTATTAGGTCTGACCAGGTGTTCAGTTCTTGTATGAATAAGATATTCCGTGTTTTTGTATTTTGATGTCATTTCACTTACCGTACTGCTGTAGATTCTAATTTAACCTCGGTAAAGGGGTATTGCAAAATCTTGTTGAAGTGACATGTAGATCTTCATTTAAGTGAAGTGAAAGTGCTTAATTGTCATTGTTGACACACCACAGCACATAGTGCACAACAATGAAATGTGTCCTCTGCATTTAACCTGCATGTGCCATTGTGACATAGCAGGGGGCAGCGAATTCAGCACCCGGGGAGCAGTGTTTGGGGGCAGAACCTTGCTTGTTGGGGATTCGAACCAGCATCCTTCCACTCACAAGCGCACTTCCCTAACCATTAGGCCACCACTGCCTAATATGTCACTGATCCCATCCAGGGTGTCCCCTTTTCACTGTGACCCTGATGTTAATGCATGGATGGATGGACGGAGTTTAGACTGTTTTTGAATATCTGGGAGCAGTGCCTTGCTCAGGGTACCTCAGTGGCGCCATGCTGCTCGGGGATTTGATCCAACCACCTTTCAATCACAAACACGCTTTTCTAACCGTTAGGCCACCACTTAATTCTATATCATTTTTTTTTGTCAGCTGCATAATTTGAGCAGAATGAAAGAATCGGTTCCCTGCTATGATGAATTTTGGTTTATTCGTTATTTATTTCGGTATTTAGGTAATAGAGGATGAATTGAGGGAGAGAGCTGAGAGACTGGAGACGCGGCAGGCTACCGATGACGCCAGTCTGCTAATCCTGAACCGATACTGGAGCCAGGTAACCCAGGCTGAACGGAAAGTGAATGTAGCAAACTCTGTAGCTTTGCAGCTATTCACTCAGCCTTCTTGTACCTCTGTCACAGTTCGATGAAAATGTGCGTCTTATTGGCCGGCGCTATGACCAATCAGGAAGTGAGCCTGCAGATCAGCCGTCTGCAGAAGGGCGGAGCCTCAAACCGGAGACCCCAGAACCGGATGGGGACTCCAACCAGGAGAGGGTCAGAGACCGAGGTATGATGGGGAGTGTGGCCATCAATCCAAGGATGTGAAGTGTGGCTTAGAAACATGGCAAAAAGAGTTTTGTGTGTATATGCATCGTCCAGACAATACGCTTAAACGAGGATGAGAATACTTCAGTCCTCCCGATGTTAGCAGTTTAGGTTTTTATTCTGCTTTGTCATTTCTTCTGGAAGACAGCCGTCTCTGATAATAGTAGAATTTTGTCGACAGCATAGTGTATTACAACTTTGTGTTGCCCTGGATTCTCATTTCGGGCTCTTCCAGCTTGAACATGGTCTCTGCCTACATGTGAACAGTCTGTTTGGCCGTATCGCAATAGTGTAGCTGTCCGTCACGTTTCCATTACTGTACACATGCTGTCTTACAAGTTAGACTTGGACAGCGGGTCATTAAACAGCTGCCAGCTCTGCCCTTTCTCCTGCACCGTTACACTAAGCGATGCATCCGCTTAATCTGCTTACAGGGGTCTCTCCTTCAGTGTACAGGCAGTCCTCAGATTAAGAACGCCCCGCTTAATCCGCTTACAGGGGTCTCTCCATCAGTGTACAGGCAGTCCTCAGATTAAGAACGCCCCGCTTAATCCGTTT